GAGGAGTGAGCGAGCGGCTGTGTAGTGCTTAGTTGCTGGCTGGGGTTAAACCACGACACCCTGACATGTTAAAATCAATGTCACAGAGAATTTTTGTTATACATAATGAAGTAGCATCCGTATGACAAAGTATTTATTCTGTATCATTCTGTTATTACACTCTGTACAATGGCATATGGGCTTTCTCAGCAAAGAATGATCTGCTGTTATTTTATAATCCTTTTCAACACTAATTATGAAAATTAGAGTGCTGACCAGTAAGATATAGGTGATTTTTTTTTAATGATACATTGGAACTCAAAACTGTATGGGTTATAACCATTTAAAAAAACATAGCTATGAACTGCATTGGGCTGGAGAACACTCACGAGAAATCTAAATATCACTGCATATCTTCAGATACAGAATAATTTATTTAATAAATTAACACAGGGAGAGGAAACTTACTTCTTCTTCCTCCAGTCCAGTTAGATCCCAGAAGTAACTCAGTCTCATCTGCAAACGTTTCCATTGTTCAAGGAACATAGTAGCTTTAAAAAAAAATTAAAAATTATAAATCCAATGCACTACAGTGAATGTTTGTGTTACTTATAAGCCCCAGCCCCAGATATTATAAGATATTTGAATCCCATTATACTAGGCCCTTTATAAATAAGAACAAAGAAACAGCCCCAGACCCAATTTTAAAGAAAGAACACAAGCAAAGCATGGAAACAATAATTACTGTCTTTTTACAAATAAAATACAGAAAGATACAACATGGATTGTCCAAAGGCACTAGTACATTCTCGACAGAGACTGGAACTGAACCCATATCTGCTAATATCCACCCCAAGAACATCATCTCTCCTAATTTACCATGAATCATTCTATAATTCATGAGTACAAAGCATATAATGGAACAAAATCTAGGTCTAAATATTAACCTGTAACACTCTAACTGGCCAAACAGATTTTGCTGTTTCAGTCTTTTTAATCAGTCAGAAACACGTGAAGAAGTTAGATGTAGCCTGCTACTGAAATAAATCATTGATACCTATATGTAAACTAAGACCCTCAGTATTATGTAGAAAATATTGTTCTTTTGCAATATATTATAGTGGTACAGTTGAATGTTTTTGTCCTGCATAGACATGGTGATTTTGTCCTAAAGGACTGGCCCGTAGTTCAGTCTCCTGCTTTTCCTTTTTCATTAATATGAAGGAACAAAGGAACAGATGTTGTACTGTTGTCTCATGTTTATAGTCTCCTGACCTTCCTCTCATAATTGCTGTTTCCTCTTGACAGCCCTTTGCCTAGCTGCTCATGATTTATGGACTTCTGGATTTTTTAGAAATAGCATTTCTTACTGGTGACTTGTGGACACCTATTTTCAGATTACTGTATCAATGCTAAACCAGTACATACAAACTAAAAAAACCCACTATACCATTAGAAGCTATATCTATAAACAACTGTGGGCACTGTTTTCCATTTCATGCTTCATTTCACCTTTTCAGTTGGTGAAAAGGGGACTGTAAAAACATTGTTAGATCACAGCAGTATTTACATCTCTTTGAACATCTTGTAGATAGCTCCACAAGACACACAACAGTGGAGAATTAGACCAGAATCTATTTCAACAGTTAGCTGCAAATATTTTCTGCACAGGTATCTTCCCATATTGTGAGAAACAAATATCATTTAAACACCGGACAGGCAGTACACTGAAAGTAAATCCAGACATTAAACAATTAAGTTGCTATCTCTGCTCCTTCCTTACAGAGGATAGGAAATAAAAAAGCTATATTTAGCATGTTTTGAAAACTCAAGAGTTTTTAGATATCCTAAATACAAAAGCGTTTGGTTTTTTATAGGGTGCTATTACGCATTCCATTTTTTCCTGTTGTTCAAAAAGTCAGTTCCACATTTAGCTCTGTAAGAACTTATTTGGCTAGATGCAGTAGCTGTTCTGAAATCAGCAAGTTTGCACTGAGTTACACTAGCAGAAAAACAGTCTCATTATATAAACACATTGGACAGATGAAATTCAGCATCCCAGAACACCAGTGACATTAAGCACAATTAGCGAGGCATTACTCTGTATTTTGTGAATATGGCCATTTGCAAACAGTATTGCTGGAATCACAAAGATGCTTTATGAGGCATCAAGATTGGCTAGTAAAAGCATGATTCCTTTCAAGATATTAGTCATAGTAAGTCATCTGCTTTTTACAGAATGGGAGAAGGCAAGCAGGATGAAAGACTTCTTGTGCCCAACACCATCATGAAATTAAGCCAGCTCAAATTACCATACTTTGCTCTTTTAAGTATACAATTGTAAGTCATAAGATGCCAGTTTCCACATCACTATCCTATATCCTACAAAAAAGCATTCAGGCAAGATTTACTCAAAATGCTGTGAGGCAAGCTGATTAGGTGTGTGAAGGAGATCTGTCATTCAGCAGAATGAGCACTAGATATAACCAGTACAGTCTCCTAGTAGTAAGGCAACAAAATTTGGTGTAATCTAATACTTAATAGGCAAGCTGTGCAGAGTTAGTAAAGGATACTTTATTTCACTTTGTTGTTCTTTGTATATAACGGCTGTATTTTCTTTCACTGACAAGCTCAGTTATCATGGTCCCAAGAACAGATTTTTCCAATCTGTGGGAAATATTTTTTGGAGGGGGGCAACAACTCAGAAAGAATTTTGTTATTCTTACATGCCTTTTTTTTAAAAGCAATGCATAGGGAACTTTTTGTTCCTTTCTGTTCCTTTGCAGATTCTACTAATTTATCTTAATGCAAGGATATATCAACATTTCGCTTTGCACGTTGTATTGCTGATACTAAAATATATTTATTTTGGATGAGGCTGCATGGAAATGATCATTTACATGGATGCAAGTTTACAGTACAGATTCTCTGTCAGGAAAATACTATTTACCTATGAAAGAGGTATGAAATTGTCATTCATACACATGCTGTCCAAAGAGCTAAACTAAAACTTGGACCAGGCAGTGTATTGCATGCTTCATGGCAGCAGGTAAAATGTGACACCTTATCTGCCAGTCCACTCTGTAATTGGCAGCAATCTGAAGTAGGAAAATAAGTCATTGTGAGAGTCTATAAATTCATCATCTTTTGCCATTTCTCTTAGTCATAGTGCTTACATATTCTCTAACTTCTGCTGAAGGGTTTCCAGGAACTGGTAAACAAAAACTTCTTACTTCCGTGATTTGTTCTGTCTGCAAGTTCCTTAAAAACCCTACGCTATCCATACCCAACACCAAGCTACCAATCAGTCATTTCTAAAACAAGCTATAAAATTTTAATAGGGTTGCAAAGTATAACACACTGATTGCTGAGGGATGGCTATAGTACAATAATATATTTGCTCAATTTCATATTAAGAATGAAAATTTCATTTTGTGAACAGTGAATAGGGAAATAAAAAATCATTTTACAGTAGCAATAACACCTTTAACTTTCACAATAAACAAGATCTAGAGTGAATGAAGGCATAATACCAGCAATAATACACACAAGCACAGTACACACACTTTTCAGGGCAGAGGTGAGGCCAGAAACAATAAGAATAATACTACAATGTATTCATTAGTGTTTATGAAGTGTTTTGATATCCTCAGTGAGACAGGGTATATTTGCCATTAAAGAAAACCAAGCTTGTTTAAATGGAATACTTTAGAACATATTATAATTAAAACAATAATTGTCCCATTGTTCTTGGAATCCCATAAAGTTTTGATAAAATTATGTGACTAAGTTGTCCCACATGGAAGTGCACTCTGTGCTGAAATTAAACCCTTTCAGATTCCTGCTTCACATACAGAAGGTGTTAAAGGGACTGGCCATGTCGATAGAAAATGAGGAAAAACATGGAAAAGCTTAGAACTGCCATTAAACAAGGCAGTAGAGAGAGAAAGGACACATTTTTCTTCCCTGAACTACCCAGCTCCTCTCCATTTATTCCAAAGCTTTCTGCTGACAGCAGAAAGCCTTGTAATATTGCTTTCTCCAGCCTCAGCACAGACAGCCCCTCACTGGCCCTCTGAGGCTTGCCAGCTTCATAAAGCCATATGTATCACATTCAATCTAATAGCACTTTGTTATATGTGAGGCTACTACTGTGCATCACAGCTTTCATTTCTGTCAGTAGTCCGAAGATCAAACAATACTGTTAACATGCAAAACAATACTCACCCCAGAGAGCCATAAAGATGGAGAATAAGACTGTGGCGGGGTTGTCAAATAAGTGGCTAGCTCGAGCGGTAGCACATGCAGAGCTGAGGTTCCAGTAATCACAGAACTTGTCACACAGGGGGCACATGGTGAAGGCATTGCGTTGATCGCACATTTCTTTACTATGAATGACAAGTGCACAAGTTCTTAGGGTATCACTACTCAGAAAAGGGGGATGTACAGTAGTGATATTAAGCAACACGTCATAGCTATTACAAGGTATTTGCAATGTACATGGCTTGAAGTTTCAGATAACAGAAGCTGTGTGCCTCTTCAAGGCACATGGCCATGGGCTGGGATATTAAAATACTTATAGGCACCTTACCAACAGAAAAACAATGCAACAACCAATCTAATATCTACACTGTGTTAGTGATTAGTGAAGACTGCATCACTGAAGACTGAGGTTAACCACACTAAAAGAAAATAATTAAAACACAGTCCGAGTGGAATTTGCCATCTCTACACTCAGTTACATGATTTGATACAGATCAGATTTAAATTCATGAAAAAGAATTCTGAAGTGGACGTAAAGGAAATTCTATGCCCTTGACGAAACACACATTTTTAACATGGTGGCACAAAAGTCCATGTCAAATACCATGCTACTTTCTGTTTCGGGACTGGTCACATAAGTCTGCATAAAAGCCAGAAACAGCACCCAGGCATGTTGGTTGGCCTGTGTCAGAGACAGAATAAATCTGCAACACCATTTGCAAGACACACTAGGTTTTGCTATAAGCTGACATACATGTACTGAATTTAAAAGACTTACACTAGCCAAGAGTCTTGTTCTTAGCAAGGATGTCATATTTCACAACATTTACTTTGAGATTCACCTCTACCCTACATTTTATTTGTGAGGTATTTATAAAAGCAATGGTTGTTTTCCCAGCATAGGACTTTAACACCAATTCTCATCTGTACCACCATCTGCTATAAGGTTTTGGCCAAGTTACTCAAGTGTGAGCAGTTATTTTATGCACCCATACTAATATGTTTTAAGGGTGTTCAGCTATTGTGTGCACAGGTTTCAGGAAATCAGATACCCTTACATTTCAGGGTTCTCAAGTTTGAATGCTGAATATGGATGTGGTATTCTTGGTCTCCATAGCTCCTTGCTTTTCTAGTACAGAGTGCTAACCTAATTTTCAAAAATAAAATAAAAAAAAGGACAAAAGCCCCCCCCCCCCCCCCCCAGCAGCAAAACTTATAAAAACTGGAAAGCTTCCATTTCTGCCTTATATAGTCAGATGTTAAGTTGTATTTCCTTTCCCTCAGTTTACAGCATTTGTTCAATTGTCCTCTGGAAAATGTGAGATAAGAGACTTTCTTACATATTTTAAAATCTGTATTTTAAAGTTGTTATTTTTATTCTTAGCCTTATTTGCTATGTATTTACTCAGTTTCTAAAAATCTTTGAAAAATCTTTATCACTATCCTTTAACAAGCCAAACCCTACTTGACACTGCTGCAGGTTCTTTCAGTTTTTTTCATAAGGTTTGTATGTGAAAGACCTTCATACCTGCACATTCTTACTCAGGTGAACTGAGTAGTGCAAAGCTCAAGTGTCCTTGCCAGGACTGTAAGCTAAAGAAACACTTGCAACATTGCTTCATTGATAGCTGGCATATTGTGATGATGATTTTTCCTATATTGGCCATCATTAAATAACATTTTTTCTATGACTTCAAATGAAAAAAGAACGATTCAAGCTTTAGTACCAATAAGTTTAATATTATATCATTTGAAAGGCATACAGCTGTTTCCAGCTGACATATCGTTAAAGTAATGCTCTCTTCTATTTCAAAAGGCAGTAGAGGGTGCTGCAGATACATCTTAGCCATAAATCTCACTTAAGTTTAAATGTTAGTACAAGCTTTCCCACAGACAAGCACAGCCCATCAAGATTCATTCAGATCAGGCTAAAAAACCAAACCCTGACTCAGATGTGTTGTTATTCATCATTTACCTATCAGTAATAATGTCCTACTGCAGTGATCCACTTTAAAATTTGCCAATTCATTTGAGAGAATACAGGAACTGCCACGAGTGTGACCAGCAGTACTAGTAATCCAGTATCCTGTCTCCACCATAAGTCAGACACAGATAACACAGAGGAAGAGTCCTTTTTTCACTGAGAAGCAAACATTAACATCACTCTGACAATTTGGCAGGTTTTGTTTAGTATAACACCCTGAGGACACACAGCACAAAACTCAAAATTTTTTTGTAAATGTCAAGAAGGAGAATAGTGTGTATACCAAGCATGCTAAATCTGCTAAGTATTGTTCATCTTACTTGTGCAAATAGCCTGATTTTATGAAGAACAACAAAGTAATTCAAGAGTACTGGACAGTGTATTTGCATTAAGTTCAGTGAGTTCTGTACAATGTCTTTCTGGGTGAGCGTGGAGATATGTGCATTCATAAAAAGCAAATGGATGTCATAAAAAAGAACTTAAAATAATGCAGTAGACTCACTGAACATTTCTGTTTCAGGAGCCGAACAGCCAGATAAATGTGTGTCATTCAAATGTCTTATCTGCCTAATGGATGTGTATTTCTGATGCTCACAGCGTTGTTAATGATACATCACTGCTCTTCAGACATGTTAAAAACAATTATTCTCACGAAGGATTATGAACAAAAAGCACAGTCTTATAATTTTCAAGTAACAAATTATTAATCACAGAGAAGCTTACCTAGGAATGTCACTCTCAATCGTTATACATCCATAAAGAAATACAATAATCCCAACTACTGAAGATGGAATGAGGAATTCTGTATATAAACCCAGCCACGCAAAATAAAGTCCTATCTTTTCTCCAAAATACTTTCTGAAAAAGAAGAGAGGAAAAACAAACAAACAAACATGTGTCAAGGGTATAATTTTCAAATGTGTTTTACAGCTTCTTAGCTATCCCTGAAAGTTAAAATACTAATTGTCAAAGACATGGATGAAAACCCTAAGTATCTTGAAGTCAGTATCACTGAATGGTTTGGGCAGTTTGGGGTTCTCAGTTCTGAGAAGTTAAAGACAGTCCTGTGTCGTTATAATACATACTTAATATCTGCTCAGGGAAGACTGCATCTTTTGCATCTCTTAAATGAAGTCAGTGAAATATTCCTCACTTGCATCAAAAGTAGCAGAATTTCAACCAAATGTTTAGCAGAAAACATTGGAAAGGATTTGGCTCCTCAGAAGAGTATCTAGATATGCCACCATTCTTTGCCTCTGTAGTCCTCCTGGATTCAATTGGTGAGAGTCATGGAAATGACATCTATGGGAACATACTGACAACATCCTCTGATATCTTAAAAGACTAGTAATCTTGAATTGCTGTTAAAGAAGGAAGGTTTACTTGCACACTTAGCACTGGCTTTTCAGAAAGAATAAATATTTTTGACAAATTAACAGTTTCTGGACAGCTGGTTTGAAAAAACTGTTTCTGCTCCGAGGAACAGTTCACTGTAGATGTTGATAAATATGTGCTAGTACTCAGCCCAACATCTTCATGAATCACACTGCAAGAAGTAAACTAAACGTAGATGAAACTCACTGATCATTCCAAAGTACTATTAGGAGTGATTACAAATATTGCAGAACACCAAGAGCTTCAGAGAGCTCAAGAACTCACCATCACTAAAATAAGACTAAATTTAGATAAAAAGCAACACAGAAACATTTCACAAGGCAGAGAATAAGATGGAGGAATGCTGGAAGGAAAGCAGCTATACCGAGAGCACTCAGGGCACGACACTGCATTTGAATCAGTGAGACATACATTCACACTGTTGTGGCAGAAAGAACAAAAAGAATTTCAAGATAAGATGGCTAATAAAAGAAAGACAAGACTTGCTCCTCATACAGGCTGAGCACAGTCCCACTTTGAGATTGATTCTGAACTCAGTCACACAAGGAAAGTTTTACCCAAGCTTAGCACCCCAGATCTAAATTATTCCTAATAAAAATGGTTAAGTGAGATTTTTGGAGGCCCAGGATTTCTTTCAACAGATATAATTTTATTCTGACAGAATTTAATGACACAATTCCGTGTCCGCAGACTTGAGCTCAAGTCCTTTCAGCAGCACAAGAAAAACTGAATTTTTCTACTCCAGAAGCTATGTCTCAGGGCCAAGCTGCTCCTGCCACACGAGAGACAAAGGCAGGAGTACAACCAAGGCAGAGAGTCATGGGACAATGAGACAAGCCTCCAAAGTTGTTTCCAGCCCAGATGAAAGGAGCAAAGGTAGCAACAGTGAGGGGGCGAGGTTATTACTACAGTTCCTGTTGCTGTTCCCACACCATCACAGCTGCAGCTAACTTCATGTTCCTAGGCTGTCACATAGGAAAGCAGACAGTGCGGTCATACCTATTTCAGTGTTGCCTTACATGACTGCCGATATTTGCTTATGTCTAACCAACCTCACTTATCCTTTAGGAAGGGCATATACAATCATAAAAGGGAAAACAGAACAAAAGCACTTTAAGGTGATACACAGACAACATTATCTTCAGTATACGGTGATGCCATAACTTGGAGAACAAGCACAAAAGCAAGGGAAATTTCAGGAATCTTCTGGGAAAGGGGTACAGCCCCTACACCTGACATTTGCAAGGCTATCATAAGCAACAGACTGTGTTAAGTATCAAACAACATGAGTGGAATCATGACAGAGTGACTTGAATGGCAATAACTTAATTAGCTGTGTAATTCTCTTTTGTTTCAGAAAGACAACTTGCACAAGTCAGAATGGGAATACTATTTTCCAAAACCAGTCTTTAAACAAATACATCAGTTTAGTAACTCTACATTCACACCACAGCATAGTTTTTAAGCACCTGGGGACAACGGATTACCACATTTGCACAGAATAGAAGGAAACATGATATTATATGATATAGTATAGTTGATAAAATGATAAATGTAAATATTTATGTTGCAAATATAATCCAAATACTGTGGGACTACCCTGTAACCTGGTACATGCCAGCTAATTTTGGAGGTAATTTTTAGGAGGTAGTTTTTCTTTATTCTCATACTTGTTTTTTAATATTTTTTAATATGAAGTGAGGGAGGAAATACTTGATTAAAATACATAAATCATCAGACGGCCTATAGCTTTCCCTCAAGCCTCTTGTATGAGTCAACAAACAGCAGCAATGGCCTTGGAACAGCACAGGACAGAGGGAGACTCACTTTGTTCTGAAGTTTCCTCCTGATTGGGAAGTGACACATCTTGCATTTGACAGTAAGGCAAACATCACTGAACACATCCTGACAACATGGAACAAGGAGGAGAGGGGGATTATTCTGATGATCTTTTTTCTTACTCCTTCCTTATTTGTAGAGCTGGGCAACATTCATAGCTAGTACAGTGCTCCAAATAGGTCAAAGCAGAAATGAAAAATAGTCCACAATCTGAGCTGTTCTAAATTGTCTATTGTTTTGACAAAGGGCCACAAATTAGCACAGAAACTGTTCAAATCCCAGAAGCATTAAAGAGCAGCTGACCAGGGTCAGTGAAGTTGAAGCTTATGGCTCATGAGGCTTCCTCTCATTTTTAAGCCTTCCAGTGATAAATGCAATATGTAACCTATAAAGCAAAGGATTGCTGTTTGCACCCATGCCAAGAGAAAGTGAGAAGAGCTGAACAATGTCCTGGCAGTACAGAAAAAAGCAGTTGCCAAGAAGAAAACTGCACAATGTTCTGTGGCTTAACTGTTTTGAAAAAGAAAAATAATTAAGACTGCTGTGCCCAAGCTCAGTCCACCAATGTGCCAGAAAGTGAAATAATCTAAGGAGAAGCAATGACAGTGCTTGGAAGCATGATGATAAAGATAAATCTGAGTTTATCAAGCTAGAAAAACACAGAACGTGGACATATTCCTTCCTTTTTTGACATTCCCCAAGAATTGTTCTCCCATTGCTGTGAATAGGAGACGAGCCTCTGCAAACACCTGTGACCACCTGCGGCATCTACTGCAGCCACAGCTGGATTTTTGGATCAGACCTTAGGAATACTGTGAGGTAGGTTTCTTTCTAGCACCCCTCTAAAAATCTCTTAAGAAAGGCACACTGGCCTAGTTTTACAAGGTTTGAAAGCATTCTACCCCTACTCAAGTCAACAGTTTCATGTTAGCAAATTGCAATGCTATTTCACTTTGAAAGCAGGATGATAAGTTTTCTCAAACGTGGACGTACTAGCCCCTCTATATTTTCACACTAACAAGAAAGAAATTAGAATGATTGTAGTGAATGAAGAGAAAAAATATATGTTCTTCAAGGGTAGAGTAAGATGTATGTCAAGAAAAGGAGTTTTTGCAAGTTTTTGTATATTTACACCAAGAACTTGGCATCTTCTCTAATTTACATTGGGATAAAACCAGTCTTACTTTATTATACTCTAGGAATTACTCATGATTTATGCTGGCATGGAAAAAAAGAACTGAGATGAGGTTTTTGCACTGCCTCAGTAGCTAACTCACATCCGCTTCACATATATCCAGACAAAGCTAAGGACTAATCCTTTCCAAAGTATGCTCATGGATGGCCCACTGCAGACTGCCATAAAAAAGGTATGCCCTCTGCATTGCATGAACTTTCTTTCCACATTACCTATATTCTAATGTAGAGAAATGTCCCATACACATATGCGATGAGGACAGCAGTTCTCATCCAAAGCAAGGGGCAAATGGCTTTGATAATGAATGTGTACTGCCCCTATCAGAAGCAGCAGCCGAGCATTTTGTTCTGTGTGTTTTACAGTATAAGGTGAAATTTTGTGCCTTTCACTTTGGAAGGCTTTTTGAATGCTGCTAAAATGGCCACCTACCAAGCACTAAGTTCTCTTGAGCAAGAATCATGTCTTTAAGGAAAGATTTGGCCAAATCATCCATAACTTCTTCAGAAGCTGAACAAAAGTTGCACTTCAAGCAAATGATCGGAAACAGCATTAAAAAACTACAGCAACAACAACCATCACCTGTAGAAAGTGTATTCCCTCTCATGGTAGAGTTAGAATAAGAAGTCTTGAGAAGGACACAGTGAAAATATTTACTCAGTTCCCTCTGCTTGCCCATATAACACTTGAATCAGACATCTGCAATGCACTTCTGTCTGTCTGGTTGCCAAACCAACATCAAAAAGAATAACTGATAATTAAACTCTATGCTTGCATGTTGGTCACAGTGCTTCCATGCCAAGTTGTGCAATTTATAAATAGACTGATTTGGGGAAGGGGGGAGAAGAGAAAAGGAAAAAAAAAACTCAGTTTTCGACTCTGTGAAAACAAGTGTGGGATACCTGGAATGTGAATAAAGCATGTGGTGCGTGACACATGCTGGAAAGAACTCTGGAGTTGTTCAGGAACAAAGTTAAAAAAGTGAGGAAAAGACGCTGTGGACACTGAGTCACCTAACTGGAAAATGTGTTCAAAACTCTTCAGTTTTTTAATTTCCAAACCTCATTCTAGGCCAGCTGTTATTTTGTGTTTGCCACAATTCATTCCACTACCCCTACAGTGGTGGAATAGTTTCTATGCAAAACTAAACTGATTTACAGCTTCTATTAGGTAGGCTTTCCCCTGTGCAAATGGTCAAACAAGTCACATGTATTACTTATGTCTTCAAAATAAAACTATTTGCACAGATTATGGACAAAATTTTGATGTTTATACTGTCAGGAGAAAGGACAAGCAGTCCTCTCAAAGTGTAGTTTCATGTCGGAACATCTCTGCTACCAGAGCCAGTTTAAAAACTTTCTTTCCCTCCCCAGCTTCCAGCCCAGGTGCATATTCCCTTTCTGACCCACAGCAAGCCAGTTCACAGTGTCGG